AGTGACTCGCTGGACAGCCGTATAACCTGGATAGATGCTAAATTCAGTCACCTGAAGTTAGCCGCTGAAGCCTTCCAGATGGTAGTGCAGGATCAGTCGAATCAGAATCGCCGCGAACGCAATACACTCGCTTCCTCTATTCTTCAATGTCCAGACGAGATTCTCGCTCTGATATTCGAATATCTCCTCTCTTCTTCCACGGAGTCACATCAACTAGAGGATCTGAGTTTTGTTTGCAGTCGGTGGTATTGGGTGGTTGAATCAACTCCTGTTCTTTGGTCTTACCTCTACATTGATAACCAATCCCAATATCGCCAAATCCAAAAAAGCCTCGCCAAATCTCAAGCCATTCCTTTAACCATCAACATGTATCGAGACCCGAATAGAGTGTTAGACATGTTGTTTGATCATATTCCTCGTTGGAAATGGATCAAATTTCATGAATATTTCGGGTCTCATTCTTTTAATCTGGATCGTTTGGGCGAGAAGCCAGCCCCCTTACTTCGCGAGTTTGTGATGGAACGCGATTATCATATGACATTTCTCCCAACCAATCTGTTTCGAGGATACGCTCCTTTGCTTCGACATCTACGTATCCCCAAGCAGATCCTATCATGGGACAGTCCGATTCTCTCCGGCCTAACTTCTCTTGAGATCTACGCTTGGAATGGAAGGGATATACCTTCAGCCGATCAGTACATCCGCTTGATCAAGTCATCCCCAGAGCTGGCGAAACTCATCATTCACGGCCGATGGGAAGACCTCACATCGCCTAGTCCTGCCTCATTTGTTTCGGATCTGAATCTTCCAAAGCTCAGTCACCTTGAGCTCTGGAACATCAGTCCATTCACGATTGGATCCATAATTACCTCCGTCAAAGGATCGTTGCAGTACCTTAGTCTGGGGATACATGGACTCCTGGCTACTAATCTCGCCAACCATGTAGGTCTAGCCTTTGTCAATCTTGATTGGCAACTGTTTCCTGCATCAAGCATTTCTCCATATGCATTGGAAGTACCAAGGAGGAAATCCACCGAACACCAGCTCAAAATCACATGCACAACAGTCTATGACCGTAACCTCACTCTATCTTTCTCTTCTTCTGGACCCGACGAGGTGGCCATACTTGCTTTATCGTTCATATCATCGAATGGAAGCAAAGACAACCGTCAGGCGATAGGGGTTAATGAAAGCCCTGTTCTCAGCCTCAACCCTCTCCCACGATTACTTCATCGATTCACAAGGTTGGAAGAAATAAGCATCAGCTTTTGGAAGGGCAACGAAGGTATCATCCATCTTCTAGGACATCCTATAGAAGCGATCTTGGGCGAATCCCAGAAACCTGTTTGGTTATGTCCCCAACTTCGAAGACTTTGCGTAGATATTGGTTTCATCCATGTCGAATCTCTCTTGGAATTTGCGAGATCGCGATATCTCCATCATTCTGGTTTCTGTCCCGAACAGTTAGAAAAGTTCGAAATTTCACTATATCGGCCCACTCCTTTCTCTACAGCCAGAGAAATGAAGGAGTTAAAGGTCATCAGGCATGAGATAGGCACAATCGTCGGCAGTGATGTTATTAAGATACTGGGGCATCCATTTCCATTTTCTTCACATGTATGATACATAAAAGACTGTACCAAAAAGTTGTAAATGCTATGAATTGTTCACTTCAGTGCTTCGAACTTGGATCTCACAACGCAAGAGACCTACATAGCTAAATAGCGAGCTTTGTCCTTTATTGCTATGAATGGCATCGCTGCCTCCTAGTAAGCACCATTCTCAACCCTCATACCACTTCCTTTCACTTACATCACATTGATTGATTAATCGTCCAAAAGAACTGAGAACAGAAACTCTTGCAATGTTCAAGATCCTTGAGAGCTCCCTCAAGAGCCATTGATGTCATAGCTACTTTCTGCTACTGGCGACTTGACTGATTCACATCATCCTAGTGGTGATAATTATTTGGTCTCAAGCTTTGCCATGTTCGGCTCCCGCCTCCCATCCCATGATATTGAAGACTCAGCTACGCGCCAGAAAACGATAGCCAGGACAGACGTTTGGCTTGCGAAGTGAAGTTATCATGGATTGAGAGTGACCAATCTGTTGCCTCGGTTCGGCGTATCACAGTCGTAGAATACGAGGATCTCATACCACACCACCTATTTTAGCGGAACATGCGCCCAACACTGTTCTTGACCACTCCTCCGATGATCTGGCCTCCAACTGCCCCTAAGCCCCATCCTCCACCGGCGACGGTCGACGCCCATCTTTGCTTCGCATCTCGGTCTCTGTGACAAAAGTTCAGTGACAGGGGAGAAGAAGCAGGTTTCTATACATACGCGTATGTAAAGCCAATGGCGTTAGTCATGTTGAAGACTATAGCAAGCGCCACGATTGGTAGAAATCTATGGATATGACTATTAGCTAGAGACCAGACTCCCATACCGACAAGAACTAACGAGATGTTAAACTTGAGGAGCGAAATTATCAGTAATAGGATCCAGAATACCGGGAAAGCGTAGAGTGCAATCTAACAAATGATCGTTTAAAAGGCCCACTGTTCTGAAGAGGGGGAGCTTACCCAGAACATTCTATAGAGAATGCGCAATTAGCGAATGTGGAGTCATGAACGGATAACACTCACTTTGCGTCCACTGGGTTAGCTGGGCGTGATGGCTAAACCAACCAGACCGTTGTTCATTACCCTTCTAATGTAGTTTTGTGGGAGTTATCTCACATCTCTGCTTTCAAAAACCCAATAGCTTTCTCCGTCTTCATCGACTTGATTCCAGTATCGTAAGCCAACAAGTGTTCTTCCTGCTACATTCTATAGAGATTTATGAGACCAACTGAATGGAGTAGCTGTGAGTATTTGCCGCACGTACTCGGCAATTCCAGAAGTCCATGGCAAGTAAAACAACGACTACAACGGTCTGTAACAACTGAGATTACGCAGTTCAGAGGTCAACGATGACTCTTACCGAGAGCACATAGTTGTCCGTAAAAATGCCACACAAAATGTATACTGCTATTGCGCCTGTTCGGAAGAGATAAAGCACAAATAATGCAAGTGGGTGTGAAGACTATTGCCAGCAAGGTGTCAACTTTGGGTGAAAGAAATGAGGGTGCGATCGACTCACTTGACGAAATATGCCGGCAAGACCTTATTAAATTTCCGATTATCTCGTTGAGATGTCGTTCCTCTGGATTGATACGAAGTCACCTACCAGCTTCAACGTCAGCATTGGCTGCTGCGGATGATGCATTGTTTGTAGGTGTCAACACCACTTGTTGTTTTGGCCGAGCTGGAGTGGAGGAAATATTTCCCTGCACTGGATCTGAGGGTTCATCAGGTTCAATGGTTGTGAGAAGCGGTTGTTGGAGAGACATGCGTGTAGTCAGTGATGGGTGAAAAGTAGAACGTCGAACCGTGGACGTTCAACGTCACCAGATAGATGTGACTTGTGTCACGCCAACAGCTTGAAGGTTAATTAGCCTATTCCTGCGATATAGGGTGAGCATATCGAAGTGAGTCTGTTTTCATATCACATTTTCATAAAGGTCACGAATCAGAACTTCTTCACGATAAATTCTACTCATAACGTTTCAATTCAATTGGAAAGCACCTTCTCTCTTGGTATATCGGTAGAACACAACCCTGTCATTGAGCCATGAATAGGCCCAAAGCACGGTTGAGAGCTGGGTTCGACTCCCAGAGGGAGAGCTCTTTTTTGTCATTAAAACCAGGAGTCACATCAGTCTTAGCAGCTCATGGGAAATGTCAGAATATCGGATCTGGATCTATTGCACTGCCAGATGAGATTTACCTTGCGTGGAGAAACGTGTTTAGGGTACAGGTCAAACCACAGCCCCTCTAATTTATAATCCCAAATAGCATTTGGCAACCAGAACAGCCTGTTTAGTGGGTTGACATGTGGTAAAACAACGTGCCCGTCACAGGTTACGTACATATTAATAGGGTGGCAGTGATCATATGCTATCAAGTTAAGAAACTCATCTCCATAAATCAAGGTTCTGGACATTCTCTACCCCGTAGGCGATGCAAGTGAAGGAAGTTGGATCTCCCAACCTATGAACTCGCGGTGTATCTCGCTGACGCGTCGTCGACTGACTGGGATAAGTCCACGGTCCAGACCAATAGTGTTTTGACCTTGCATGGCACACGACACCAAAAAATGGTGACTTGTATCAGTTGAAGTAATATTCGCCTAAGGGAGAAGACAATAGCC